ATATCCACGAGTTCCGCGACATCCTTTAACTCTTGAATATTAATTGCGCGAACCATTCATTTTGCTAAGGATTTGTATAACTTGTAACAATTGTTTTTTTCATACCAGAAATTAATCATCGTAAATCGTGAATAAAAGATGATGCGAATAATGCTTTTACATTAATGCGGCAAAACAAGTGCAAGTGTTAAATCCTGCTGTTTGTAATTTGATATTTATTTCATGTTTGAAGTAAAACAAGAAAAAAACTATCACCAAACAAAAGTGTGATTTTAGATTTTTAATAAAACGACATTGCAAATGTGTAACGTGTTAAAATTCATATATGTCTTTTTGAGCCCAAAAGCGACTATTTCGGCTCTCAAGTGAGCCTCTGATCAAAATTTGTCCGTTGTCTGTCGTTGTTGTTGTTGTAAACTTTTAACATTTTCATCTTCTTCTCAAGAACCACTGGGCCAATTTCAACCAAACTTGCCACAAAGTATCCTTAGGTGAATAGAATTCAAGTTTTTTCAAATGAAGGGCCACACCCTCTTCCAAGGGGAGATAATTATGAATTAGTGAAAAGTTTTGAAAAATCTTCTTCTCAAGAACCACTTGGCCAGAAAAGATGTAACTCATGTGGAAGCATCCTCAGGTAGTGTAGATTCATATTTGTACAAATCATGAACCTTGGGGGTAGGGTGGGGCCACAATGGCCGATCAAAGTTCTACATAGAAGTATATAGGGGAAATCTTCAAAAATCTTCTTCTCAAGAACCTCTTGGCCAGGAAAGATGAAACTCATGTGGAAGCATCCTCAGGTAGTGTAGATTCAAGTTTGTTCAAATCATGACCCCCAGGAGTAGGGTGGGGCCACAATGGCCAATCAAAGTTTTACATAAGAGTATATAGGGAAAATCTTTAAAAATCTTCTTCTCAAGAACCACTGAGCCAGGAAAGATGTAACTCATGTGGAAGCATCCTCAGGTAGAGAAGATTCAAGTTTGTTCAAATCATAACCCCCAGGGGTAGGGAAGAGCCACGATGGCCGATCAAAGTTTTACATAGGAGTATATAAAGAAAATCTTTAAAAATCTTCTTCTCAAGAACCACAGGCCAGGAAAGATGAAACTCATATGGAAGCATCCTCAGGTAGTGTAGATTCAAGTTTGTTCAAATCATGACCCCCGCGGTAGGGTGGGGCCACAATTGCCAATCAAAGTTTTACATAAGAGTATATAGGGAAAATCTTTAAAAATCTTCTCAAATACCACTTTGACAGGAAAGATGAAACTCACATGGAAGCATCCTCAGGTAGTGTAGATTCAAGTTTGTACAAATCATGACCCCCGGGGGTAGGGTGGGGCCACAATGGCCGATCATCTCGCGCGCATACACGTGCGCTTCGTTCTGATTGGCTGAAACTAAAGTCTCAATTTCTTTCTTGCCTTTGAAATTTTGAACATAGCCATGCATTAGGATATCCTACAACATGATATATAGCAATTATCATAAAAACACGTGCATGCACATGCGCTGTAATCTGATTGGCTAAAACTTTAAATAGCTATAATCCCCTTGGTTTTCAACCAAACAGGATGGGATTTGGAACATAGATAGATATAATGGACTTCTACAAGAATGTATGGTCACTATGCACATGCATACCGGTGCGTGTACGTGCGCTGCAATCTGATTGGCTGAAACTTTAAACAGTTATAACTCCCTTGGTTTTCAACCAAATTGGGTGGGATTTAGAACATAGATAGATGTAATGGACTTCTATAAAAAGGTATGGTCACCATGCTCATGTATGCACGTGCGTGCATGTGAAATGGGTAAAATCAAAAATACACTTGAATGAGCGTCTTCTTTTTTAATACTTTTGGATTAAATACTTTAATATTTAGCATATTCAAATATATAGATTGTGTAGACAAGATGATATGGTCATTAGGCACATGCATTCCCATGCTCAAGTGTGCAATGATAAAATTTGAATGAACATAGTACACTTCTGGGTAAACGTTAAAGTCTCAAATGCATAGAGTTTATCTTATTTAATGAAGCTTACAGGGAATATGACTATAAAAGGGAGTTGGGGAGCGTTTGTGGAACATCTGTAATGGTCCCCATTACAATTAGCATTAGTTGTTGTTGTCATTGTAAACTTTTCATATTTTCATCTTCTCAAGAATCACTGGGCCAATTTTGACCAAAACTTGGCACAAAGTATCCTTGGGTGAACGGGATTTTTGTTTGTTCAAATGAAGGGCAATGCCCTTATTCAAGGGGAGATAATTCAGAAATAATGAAAATTTGGTGGTATGTTTTAAAAATCTTGACACTTATAGGGACGCATCCTCAGTTAGTGTAAATTCAAGTTCGTTCAAATCATGACCCCTGGGTTTAGGGCGGGGCCTCAATGGCCAATCAAAGTTTTTCAAAGAAATATATAGGAAAATTCTTTACAAATGAAATTTATAGGGAAGCATTCTCAGGTAGTGTAGATTCAAGGTTTGTTCAAATCATGACCTTCTGGGGGTACATGTAGGGCAGGGTCACATTTACATAAAAATATATAGGAAAATTTTTTAAAAATCTTCTCAAGAACCACAGTGCCAGGAAAAATGAAACTTACAGGGAAGCATCCTCAGGTAGCATAGATTAAGTTTGTAAAAATCATGACCCCCAGGGGTTAGGGCGGGGCCAAAATGGTGGATCAAAGTTTTACATAGAAATGTATAGGGAAATTCTTTAAAAATCTTCTTCTCAAGAACAGCAAAGCCATGATTGATCATATTTATATGGAAGCATCCTCAGGTTGTGTAGATTCAACTTAGTTCAAATGCTGAGCCCTTGGGGTAGGGTGAGGCCACAATGGTTGTGTACACTTTTACTTAGGAATATATAGAAATTATTATTATTTTAAAGACAGCAAAGCCATGATTTGTCATATTCAGTTTGGAAGGGGTGGGGGGGGGGGCAATGTAAGTTCAAATGTAAAGGACAACAAAGGAACAGACAGTCAAAGAAATATGCAACTGTCTTTATTTAGTTTGTTCAAATGATACCCTCTCCCCAGGCCCTTTAAGCATTGGTTAGGACCACTTTTTGGTTTAAATTTTCAATAGTTAACTGATTTCTGCTTTCTTTCTAGCCACAATGTTCAGGTGAGCGATGTGGCCCAAAGGCCTTTTGTCATTTTTATGCGCCCGAATTTTTTCGGGGCGCATATTGTTTTTGTCCTGTCTGTTTGTCTGTTTATCTGTTTGTCTGTTTGTCTGTCTGTCTGTTGTCAACTTTAACCTTTGCCAAAACTTTTAAACCGTAAGAGATAGAGACTTCATATTTGGTATGCATACTCCTCTTATAAAGTCCTTTCAAATGACATCGAGGTCAATGACCTTGTGACCTTGACTGTGACCTATATGCTAAAAATAGCTTTTTCCACTGTTTGTCATAACTTTTTAACAATAGGAGATAGGGACTTCATATTTGGTATGCATACTCCACTAATAAAGTCCTTTCAAAGGACGACAAGGTCAATGATCTTGTGACCTTGACTGTGACCTATATGCTAAAAATAGCTTTTTACACTTTTTGCCATAACTTTTGAACAATAAAAGATAGAGACTTCATATTTGGTATGCATACTCCACTAATAAAGTCCTTTCAAATGACACCAAGGTCAATGACCTTGTGACCTTGTCTGTGACCTATATGCTAAAAATAGCTTTTTCCACTGTCTGTCATAACTTTTTAACCATAGGAGATAGGGACTTCATATTTGATATGCATACTCCACTAATAAAGTCTTTTCAAACGACGACAAGGTCAATGATCTTGTGACCTTGACTGTGACCTATATGCTAAAAATAGCTTTTTACACTTTTTGCCATAACTTTTGAACCATAGGAGACAGGGACTTCATATTTGGGATGCATACTCCACCGATTAAGTGCTTTCAAATGACAACATGGTCAATGACCTTGTGACCTTGACTGTGACCAATATGCTAAAAATAGATTTTTTGAACTTTGTTGCCACCGTGCGCATAGTGTTTCACAAACACATCTTGTTAGCTCTAATGCCATGGCCATTTTTCCGGTGTGCATAAACTTTTTTAGAATATAGGCAATAACTCAAGAACCCCTTGGCCAATCATTGTTAAATTTGTCACAGGGTATCCTTGTCCCAAGGGCTACCATTTTTACTAAAACTAGGGTTGGGACCCTTAAACAAGGGGAGATAATCAGGAAAATAAAACCAAAAGTACTGTTTGCTAAAAAAACCACCAAGAACCACCCGGCAGATTTTCCTCAAATTGCATACAAGGATCAGGATATGTTGAAGATTAAAATTTGCACAGGAAATTACTTCCAGTTTAAAGTATATGATGAAAAATGTCTGTTTTTTTAACCCAATATGTGATATATCGTGATACGTATTGTACCGTGAACTGAATACCGTGATATGTATCGTATCGTGGGGTAGGCGTATCATTGCACCCCTATTATTCAAGTATCTTATGATTTAAGTATCTTAGGTACTTACTGGCTTAGAATCATCAAACTTTGTCAGTTGATGGGTCTTAGGTTTCTCGAAGAATGTCAACCAAAAAGTAGGTCATGATGACCTACTTCTGAATACCTTGGTATTTTATTTTCTTAGAATCATTAACCTTTGTAAATAAATTAATTCAAAAGTCCTCAGAAAATTTCAATTAAAAAGAAGGTTGTGGTGACCTACTTATGGTACATGTATTTTATAGTTATATTGAAATATCTTCAGTCCTAACTGGCTAATAATCACCAAACTTTGTCAGTTGATGCATCTTGGGTCTTAGAATATTTGGAGTTAGGGCTTCAATACTAATAATAGTGATAGATTATAGAATTTATCAGAGAGCAATTCAAGGCCCTTGGGCCTCTTGTTTAACTAAGAGTGAGAATTGATGCTAAAATAATCACTGATCAGAATGCTTAAAATTAAGAAAAAGGTTTTATTTTTTTTAGATGCCAAAGAGAAAAAAGGCCATTAGTAATAGGCAACGGCGTGAGCGTGACAAAGCCAGAAAGAGACAGGAGAGAGAGAAGTCAGAGTTTTCTGTTCCTGGCAGGTTGGAGGATGGAGCTGTCTCAGCTCCTCCCGGTAATTTTCCGGGGCTTGGTTCCATGGGGTTTCCACCTAAAGAGGAAAAACCCCTGGCCAGGGTGCAGGCCTCACCTTGTGTGAGAATGCATTCACCTGCCCCGAGGTTGCCATCTCCTCGGGGAAGTCGTCTGTTTGTCCGCAACGAGGACAAGGCACCGTCCCCTGACTCCCCAGCGTGGGTTTGTGCTCCACCGAGAGTACCTGGGCATGATGATGGCTTTAAGCCTAGCCCAGCAGGTCAGGCGCAGCTGGATACCTCCAGGGCGGAGGAGACCAGTAGGATATCAAAAGATGAGGGCACTTTAACTGATATTAAAACTGAGTCTCAACGAATATTGAAAGGAAATTTGAACGAATGCAATATAGAACCTGAAATGAAAACAAATAGAAATGACAATGAGAACAATGAGAAACATACAATTTCAGAGAATTGTGGTGAAGAGAATTTGAATGAAGGAAATGATCCATGTTGGCAGAAATCATGGAAGAGAGGTAACTATGACATATATTACTCCATCCAGGGTTCATTTCATCAAGCTCACCCTATATTTGAAGAGAATGCTGGGACACAATGTGTTGCTAATTGTTTAGCTGGATTAGCTTATCACAAACTTAAAAATGCTACGATCTGGACAACAATGGATATGGATAGGATTTTAATGACAGGTGATGAATTGTATACATATTTGCAAAGGAGTTCGTCAGTCAATAACAGGTATTTGCTTGTTGAGGAATTACCACAACTCTTTGAATGCTTTAATCGGTCATACCAATTCCATGCAAATAAGTCAGTTGCAAGTGTTATTATGGCAAACAATTGCTTAAACTATGCAGAGTTTAATGCATTACCACTATACGAAGCACTTCAGGTTGCACTTACAGACACTGACGGCTGTTTTGTGTGCTTTGGTGGAAATACTATGCTAATAGGGTCAACAGAAAGGGGCTTTTTTGCTTTTGATTCCCATTCTAGATCTTCTGATGGAATGTTAAGTGTGACTGGAAAGAGTACAAGGATTTTATTTCAAAATGTCAATGAAGTTTATTCATATCTTCAAGGTCTTGCTCTTTCAATGGGATATTCTGAGGGAGTTGAGTGTAATTTGAGTGGCGTAACCTGCAAAATGAATTTTATTGCTAATGTCAGTACTTTACTAGAGGAGGAAGAGGATACAAGTAATTTGCCTAGAAGTTCAGAGCTTTTGGTGGAAACTACTGTTGAATCCTGTGATAGGAATGATGATGTGATCTTTGTTGGTCATGAACAATTACAATATAGTTTTATCCCTCTGACTAATGATATGAAAAAACACATTTGTCAGGAGTTGAACATTCCCTTCATTAGCAGAAGAAATGCTGTTGAGGTCCAGGGTCAAAGGACTAATATCAAAGAACCTAGTTTTCAGAAAGAAACTTTAGGGGATGGAAACTGCTTTTTTAGAGCTGTTTCATTCAGTCTTACAAACTCAGAAGATTTCCACAATATAATGCGCAAAGCTGTCTGTGAACATATGATGAGAAACAAAGAATTATTTAAACCATTCCTAAAAGATGGTATACAATCTGTTGAAAGTCACATGTCCTCTACTCAAATGTCACAAGAAGGTACATGGGCTACTGAGGTGGAAATATTTGCAACAGCTCATTTGCTGAACATTGATTTATACACATACTCAGGAGGGAGTTGGTTAAGGTTTTCAGTTAAAGAGGTGGATCCTTGTAGGCAAAGAAGAACTGGTGCAATTTATCTGAACCACTACCAACAAAACCATTACAATGTAGTTCTTTCTGTAAATGGAGAGGAATTAAACATACAACAAACGGAACAGGATAAAATTCCTCAGGAATATCAAAAGCGGTACATAAACCGAAAACGTATGCAGGAGAGCAGGCAAGCTACATCAAAAGAACAAAAAATATCAAGTGCATCAGAAAAACGAAGACAGTCTTTGAGGAAAAGGTACCAGGAAGATGTACAATTTAGAGAGAAGAAACTGAAATCGGCCTTTCAAAGGTACTTGAATGATGCAGAATTTCAAGCTAATGTAAAACTAGTTAGCAAAACAAAGTATTTTAATGATTCTGAGTACCACAAAAAAACTAAAAAGAGAAGTATTGAAAGGTATTTAACAAATGATGATCACAGGGAAGATGTCAAAAAGAGAAGTATTGACAGGTATGCAAGAAATGATGATCTTAGGGAAGATGTGAAAAAGAGAAGTGTTGAAAAATATGCACTAGATAAAGAACATAGAGATGGTGTCAAAAAGAGAAGTATTGAGAGGTATGCAGTAAATGATGATCACAGGGAAGATGTGAAAAAGAGAAGTATTCAGAAATATGCAGTAAATGATGATCACAGGGAAGATGTGAAAAAGAGAAGTATTCAGAAATATGCAGTAAATGAGGAGCATAGGGAAGATGTGAAAATGAGAAGTATTCAGAAATATAAAAGTAACGTTGAACACAGAGAAGGTGTAAAAGCAAAAAGCAGACAAAAGTACAAATCAGATGAAATGCACAGAAATCTTGTAAATACTTCAAGCAAAAAGAGATACAAAGAAAATGAAAACTACCGGGAGAGAAAACTTCATGTTGCAGCTGAGAATTATAAAAGTGATCAATGTTTCAGATCGAAACGGAAAGCTTCCAGTAAAAAACAATACAATTCCAGTGTGATAACAAAAATGCAAAAAAAGACAAAGGTTAAAAGTAGGAGAATTGCTCAACGAGCTAGACTTGAAAATCAGGAAGAGGTGGTGAGAGTGTTTAAAGGGAAAGTTATGCAGGGCATAGATTATTCATGCTGTTGCTGTGATCGTCTCTTTTTTCAAAACCAAGTTCAAAGATGCGAACGAGAAACATATGCGAAGAATGAGGAGGCAGCAAATATTGCAGAAATGTGCATTCAGGAAAAGTATTGTCACCAGTGCTCAGAGTCATGTACGAAGAACTGCGTTAAGTCAAAGTTATGGATTTGTTTCACTTGTCACAGGAAAATCATGAGGGGTTCTCTTCCAGCAGAAGCAGCATTTAACAAAATGGCCCTTGAAGATATTCCAAAGGAATTGAAAGAACTTAACAGCCTTGAGAAACACTTAATTGCAATACATATACCCTTTATGAAAGTCATGGCTCTTCCTCATGGTGGTCAGAAAAATATTCATGGGCCAGTTGTATGTGTACCATCAGATCTGAAGAAAGTTACAAGTTTGCCAATGAAACCTGGAGAAGATCTTCTGCTGAGAGTGAAACTGAAAAGAAAATTGAATTATAAGGGGTACGTCGAATACCAGTTTGTTGATCCAACGCACATATTCAATGCATTAAATTTTTTGAAACAAAACAATCAGTGGTATGAAGACGTAGCTATAGATGCAAACTGGAAAGGGAATTTTAACGATTCTCCGGAAATGTCAGAGAGTGATAATCTGTTATCAGATGATGATGATCAGCAGCAAATTGCAACAGATACTTGTTTACAGCCTGTTGATATTGCTCAGGAGGTTCTTGATCATTACTTTGATGAAATTTATGACATTGCTCCAGGAGAAGGAAATAATCCAGTAAGGATGTTACAGGAAGAAGGAAATGAGGCTAAAACATTTCCATACTTATTTCCAAGTGGACGTTTTTCATGGAATGACAATAGAGAAACACGAATAACACTGTCGAGATACTTCAACAACCGCCTGATGAATACTGACGGAAGATTTGCTAAAGACAGTAGTTATATTTTTTTCAGTCAGTTTTTGTCCGATTTAAACCAGGTTATAGAAAAGACACAGATATCAATTAGAAAATCAGTCAGGAGAATAGGAAGGGACCAATTTGTGACATCAGATATGGTACAAAATCCTGAAGTACTTTCGAAATTGATGAAAAATGACGAGGCTTTGCGATTCATGCAGCCCATACGTGGAACGCCAGCATATTGGTCAGCAGCGCAAAAGGATCTCTTTGCTATGCTTCGGCAGTTAGGAATACCAACTTGGTTTTGCTCATTTTCCGCTGCGGAGCATAGATGGAATGATGCAGTTGCCACAATATTGAGACAACAATGCGATAATAGAGATCCGTGTTTGATGGATTGGTCCGAAAAGAATGAGGTGTTGAGAAGTAATCCTGTCACAGTTGCTAGGATGTTCGAACACAGATTTCATGTTTTCCAGACAGAAGTGATATTTTCACCATTGGAACCAATTGGAAAAGTATCAGATTTTTTCCAAAGAGTCGAATTCCAGCAGAGAGGGTCTCCTCACATGCACTGTTTATATTGGATAGAGAATGCCCCAAAACTTGATGAAGACGGAGAGGAAGCTGTATGCAATTTCATTGACAAATATGTCAGTTGTGCAGTGCCTTCTCAGAATGAAGATTTGGAACTGAGGGATATTGTTCTAGCAGTACAGCAACACAGCAGGAAACACTCGAAGTCTTGCAGAAAGAAGGGCACAGAATGTAGATTTAACTTTCCTAGACCACCTTCTGTATGTACATTCATAAATTCTCCTGTCGAGCATGAGAGCTTGGAGAATGCTGCGGAAGCTACTGATTTAAAACATGAACGCTCAATTTCTAAAGAAATATTACTGAGAGTTTGGAATGAGGTGCAAGATGAAGCAAATGAAACACGCACTACAGAAGAAATTTTTGAGCATCTGGGTTTGACGCAAGAACAGTATGAGGATGCACACAAAAGATTAGCAAAGAAGAGAACAGTTATTCTAGAAAGAAATCCATGCGAGCTCTGGACCAATCAGTATAATCCATGTCTTTTGAAATGCTGGGATGCAAATATGGATATTCAATTTGTTTTGGATCCATTTAGCTGCATTGTCTACATAATTTCATACATTTCAAAGTCTGAGAGGGAAATGGGAATGGTGTTGAAACAAACCAAAATAGAGGCAGAAGAAGGAAATGAAAGTGCACGAACAACTTTAAAGAAAATTGGTTCTGCCTACCTAAACCATAGGGAAGTGAGCGCACAAGAAGCTGTATATCGTGTATGCAACTTGAAGATGAAAGAATGTTCGAGAAAAGTAGTGTTTGTACCTGTAGGGGAAAATCCTACTCGACTGACGAAACCATTGTCACAGCTGAAAAGAAAACATAGTCTGGGGGACGATGAACATGATGAGAATAACGACGATGAAGATGACATTTGGATGACAAATATAGTAGAAAGGTATGCAAATCGACCAAATAAAACTGTGTTTCAGAATATGTGTTTGGCTGAGTTTTGCTCAGAATTCCGGGTACTTGCTAAATCACAGGTTCCAAAGAGTTTAAACGAAAATGTTTTTGAACTCCAAAATAACAAGGGATTTATCCAAAGAAGAACACGCACAAAGCCAGCTGTAATAAGATACCCTAGATTCAGTGCAGAAAAAATGTCAGAAAAGTATTACCAAAGCCTGCTTCAATTGTTCTTGCCGTACTGGACAGAGCCTCAATTAAAACCTCCAGGATTTGATCTATATGAAACATTTTATGAAAATGGACATGTGCGAATCACAGGAAAGAAGAGTGTGCAATCAGTCAAATCAATTGTTGATACAAACCGATTGCGTTATGCTCAAAATGAAGAACTAATTGCAGAGGCACAGGATATTTTCGAAAACATCGGAGAACCAGAGGATGCATGGGCAAACCTTTGTCCTGAGACAGAACTAATGAGAGAGGAATGTTCTTATGAGAGAAATAAAAGTTTGGATCTGAATGTGACAGAAGACTTGCCAGACATGCAAACAGAAATGAATTGTGATGTTCTTTTCAAAGTAGAACAGAATACACAATCAAAGGAGGAGACATTACAGATCCTACAAAATTTAAACGAGACTCAAACAAAGGTATTTTACTTAGTTCGGGAATGGTGTTTGGAAAAACATTTTGGGGAAAAAACTGACGCCCTGCACATATTTATAACTGGTGGAGCAGGAACAGGCAAAAGCCATCTAATCAAAGCCATACATTATGAGGCATCACGAATACTTGGAAAGAATTTGACATCTCCTGACAGTGTATCAGTACTACTTGCTGCCTTTACTGGAACAGCTGCTTTCAATATTGGGGGAAATACTATTCATCATTTATTTTCACTGCCCAAATATATGACTTTGCCATATGAACCATTGAGAGAACAGAGTCTAAGTGAAATGAGAGTGCAACTTGGAGACCTGCAAATTCTGGTTATTGATGAAATTTCCATGGTTTACAAAAGATTATTGTACTATGTTCATGAAAGACTTGTACAGATTAAGAAATGCAGGGAACCATTTGGAGGAGTTTCTGTGATAGCTGTTGGAGATTTCTACCAACTTCCTCCAGTAAAACAACGCAAAGATGAAAGGCTATATAAAGAAAATGCTGCTTACCCTGTTGATCATTGGCTTGACCTTTTCAAAGTGGTGGAGTTATCTGAAATTATGCGGCAACGTGAAGACATCTCATTTGCAATAGCATTGAATTCACTTCGAAGTAGAGAAATAAAAGAACCACTGGAATATGAAACAAATTCTATCTTGAAAGAATGTGTAAGGGAAGGGCCAAATGATGTTCTTCACGTCTATGCAACGAATGATGAAGTAAATGCCTATAACTTGACAATGCTCAGAAGAACCTGTGAAGACATTGTTGAGATTGATGCGCAAGACTTTACCAAAGATAGAGCATCAGGCAAGCTAGTCTTAAGAAGCAAGCCTTTGACAAGGTCGAGAACAGACAATCTTTCTAGTAGTTTGTTAATGGGAGTTGGTGCAAGAGTCATGCTTACAAGAAACTGTAATGTAGAAGACGGACTAGTAAATGGAGTTATGGGGCATATAACACATTTCTTACATGGTCAAATACACGGCGTTAACACTGTTGTTGCAGTAGGAGTAATATTTGACAACATCAATGTTGGGATGAAGTCCGGAAATAAAACAAAAAATGGAAACATTGTTCTGATTGAAAGAGTTCAAGAGGAGATACTAGAACAGAAAACAAAAAATGTTGTTCGACATCAGTTTCCATTACGATTGTCTTGGGCTTGCACAGCTCACAAAGTACAAGGCATGACAGTTGACAAGGTTGTCGTAAATTTAGATCGGACGTTTTCTCCTGGACAAGGATACGTTGCGTTGAGCAGAGTTACATCAAAACAAGGATTATTTATCGAAACAAATGACATTGAGTCGTTAAAGAAAAAGATATACGCTGACCCAGAAGTCAAATCAGCCTTGCAAGAAATGCCAAAATTGATACTACCAAACTTTGATGCATCAGAACAAGGTATTACAATGTATCTACATAACATTCAGAGTCTCAATAAACATTTTGAAGATCTGAGAAAGGACATTCGCTGTAGGAATGCAGACATCATTTGCTTGACAGAGACTTGGTTAAGATCTGGACAAAATGTTAGTTCATTTAAAATAAACGATTACCATTTTCACCAAGCAACAAGAGGAGATGTATATGATGAGAGCAGTGCTCAAATGTCAAAGCTGCGTGCATCAAATGGTGGAGGTGTTGCAGTTTACATCAAAGAAACTGGACATGAAAAAAATGTTTCCTCACTTCCTGTAAAGAATATTGAGGGCATCTGCGTGAAGTGTGTTTCACAAGATATAGCTGTTGTAACTGTCTATCGGCCAAATTCTTTAAATGTTTCCCAGTTCTTATTACAATTCGAAAAGGTGATGTCATACTACAAATCACAAAGTAAGTTCTGTGTTTGTCTGGGAGACTTCAATGAAGATGCAAGATCTGCAGGATCTATTCAAACTTTTATGACCAATCAAGGCTTCAAACAAATAGTTAATTTTAATACAACAGAAGGAGCAACAATACTTGATCATGTGTATTTATCAACATCCTTACAAGCAGAAGTGAAAAAAATATCAACGTACTACAGTTACCACGATGCCTTGATGGTAACCATCATATCCGACACAGAAAAATATTAAGGGTCATAAACCCTCTGCTCACTCATATGAAAATTTCCTTTAACCTTTATGATTTTCCAAAGGAAATGAATATTCTGAATAAAATACAAACAATTATAGCATGGCTTGCGGGGCAAAATTTGACAAAAAAGACACTTAAACTTGACATATATTACTAGTTTAAAGGAATAATAAACATTTGTGTCATTAAGAGTTATCTCTCTTATCAGAGTATCAATGTACCTTAACTGTATCAGTTACATTTCTATAGTCTTAATTGTTCCCATAATTTATCGACATTTTCACATAGTACAGTATAACTTGTATGGCAAACAGTGGTTCCAGAATATTTGACTGGGCAATAAAACATTTGGGTTAGAGAATATCGCACTGTGAAAGAAAGATCGATGCATCAGTAGGAACAATGCATACTGCCTTCGAACGGGTAATATAGTTTAACATGCCCCGTGGAAGTAAACTGTAAAGCTACCTGTTCATTTCTTAATGAAAGATGAAGTTAAAAGAAAACCCAAAGAATCACACAAGGACTTAACACTGTATTATATGATGCATAGCTATGAACAAAGATTGATGGCAAATGTTATGATTTTCCTTCTTTTTCTTCTCATTTTTACATTTATTTGCGTATAATCAAATGAAAAGGTCACCTGCCCTGCACATTCTTTGGCTGTTCGTTTATATTACGGGTAGCGGGTCTTAATTCTAAATTTTGAAAACATCGACGATGAGCACTTTTTGGTGACGTCACTTCCGGTCGTAAGATGTGGACGATTTTCTGATTTTCAGAGGGTTGACTTGTCCTGAAAACTTCTCCGAAACGACTTGAAATATTGACATATCCTTTCACAAATTCATCTTATTCTTAATCCTTAGGAAAAGTGACAATCGCGTTGTGTATATCGTTGTGTGAAAAGTATTAATATTATAATCCAGAAAATTCAGAGAAGACATGTTCGAAAGCAAAACAAACACACAATTTATTGTAAGTCCGTGCAGTTGTGGTAAGCAGACTGTGACAATTGAACACACCCGGTGAATTGTAAACATCAACAATAACAGAACTCGTGTCCTGTTTACAATAACACGAGTGTGCTCGATTTGCTAAACTCTGTACACAACTCTTAGACCGGAATGACGAAACTTGTGAAGGAGTTTTGCTTTCTAACATTTATACTCTGAATAAAATTATTTTTCAGGATAAAAGTTTTAATATTTCTGATTAATACACAACAAGATTGCAACTTTTCCTAAAGTTTAAGAATAAGGTTATAAAATTAGAAGTTTTAATAACTTTTAAATGAAATAAGATTTTTTATTAATTTTGGTGTGAAATACTATATTAAGATTTATAAGACGTAATATTATAGAGAAAATTTTGACTTCAAATTTGTATCCAAGTACCTTTAAATGATTGTTTGGGGTTAATTTCAGATAAAAATGTTTAACAAATATTGTACTTTTTTTTAAAAAAAGATCATTTTTAATAGAAAAAGTGTAATCAAACAATTAAAATATGAATAAGTAACAAATAATTATGAAAAGGAATGCACATCATTTCATGATAGATATCACAAAAATGTAGACACGATCTACAAGACGTACATCTTTGACTTAATTAGACACATTTCATTAAGATATTACACCATTTACTTGGCAACTGAAGATTTCTAAGGAGTTTTGCATTCCTTCAAAATGGTTACATACCATTCACATTATTACTGTAATTTGTATACATTATAATTTCATTAAACAAGATAGACTTGGATTTGTCAACTTAACTATGGTCAAGATCTAGTAAATGAAAGGTACCTATATATAGGTTTCCCTATTCCAGAAATACATTTGTATATTATCATTAAGCTTTATAGCCAAAAAAATGTATAAATTGAATTGGGATTATTTTGGCATGATTTTAAATTGAATTCTGTGAATTTCAAAAAGCAGTATTTTCTACCATTTCTATTGAAGCTGTAAAATACGAGAAAAAGTGACATTGAATTAATTATGACGTCACAATGGATCTAGCACAGCCTAAACACATTAATCACTGGTTATGGTGTCATACGACGTAGGTTCTATTTAAATCACAAGATTTTTCATTTGATATCAAGAGAAAGAGACTGACTCCTCAAAGTAGGGGCTTAGAGGGGCCAAAGGACTTTCATATTCAACTCTTTAATAGTCAATATTTCGTAATACATCACAGAAGCAAAGATATTCATCTTAAAGATTTGCAAAAATATATTATAAAATAGGTAACAAGGAGTGACAAGAGGCCAGAATGCTATCTTTGATGTCATATCTGAAAAGGGAGAAGATTTTAATAAGCCACATTGAACAAAAGATGTTCAATATATTGTGATGTAAATCAGAAAAATTAAATATAATAAAGGAAAAGTTAATGTCATTCTATTAATACGAATATCTCAGTCAAAATCATATCTCAACATATAATATTTTGGATAACATAACTTGCCTACGTCACAATGAGTTACGTCAAAAACGTATTACTCCGCTTGACGTTACTTTTAAAATAATGCTCAATTTGAAGCCTTATTCTGGAGGAAAAATTGTGTTATTGTCTAATACTGAAATTAAATTATAAGGAATGAAGCTAATTTCAACTTATGTTATACGATATAACAAAACTTGGGGCAGTTTACACTTTTTTATAAACCGCTTCGCGGTTTATAAAGCGTAAACTGCCCCAAGTTATGTTATATCGTATAACATAAGTTGAAATTAGCTTCATTCTTTAAATAAATAGTGGTTGAGAAGTCTAAAATGTGAATATCTCATCAAAAATGACATTTACTTATTTCTTCATTAAACATACGGCCTTGATGACATTTTAACTGGATATTATTCCCATATACACGTAAGTTATGCATCACTAAGGGGTAGGCATACCTAATAACATACACATCATTCATGTAATAAGTTTTTCTGTTTTGGAAATTGAACTAGTCCAGTCTCCCTTAGCCAACACAGTCTGACTCTGTGTAAGCTATTACTTGTAAGAAATTTGTCCTCATAATAACATAATTATAGGTTCTGATGAAATTCAACATCACATAATCTTTAATTTATTTCTGATTTAAAATATATAGAAAATAGGCATAAAAAAAAGATTATTCAGTATATGAAGTAAAATATTAATTAATAACAGCTTTCATGTACTGTAAATCACTTTTTATTAGCGAGAACTTTATTTTCGCTTAATTATGCAAGACAGTATGCTCGCTAAAATTTCATTCTCACGTATAATAATATTCCTTAAGATTATATAGAGCATTGACCACAATTCATGAAAATTTTGTCTCGCTTGTAAAGAGTCAATAACTATCTCGCGAAAATAAGGTGTTGTGAAATTTAAGTAATCTACAGTATGCCCTTCAAATTGAATTATTGACCAGTGAAGAGAGACCTCACACCTGGTGAACAGATCCCGTCTGAGTCCAGAGCCTCGTGTTTCCAGATTGGTTTGTGACTCGTAGCATCCACCATGGGACCTATCACTTTGTCAAAGCTCTGGTTTGTGTATCTCTTTAGAGTACAAGCCTGTTTTCTGTACACCAAGCATCGACCAAAACCTTTGCAAATAGGGAAAAAACCTGAACTATGTGTTTTAGGCCAATTTATTTATAATGAATTTCAAAACAAAGAAAGAGGGCGTATAAGGCGTGTACAATCCCCCGCTCTGAGACAAAATGTTTCTCAATTTTCAAAATTCACAGAAAAGTTATATTTTTCTAAAATCATGTTCTCAGTAATGTCATCTTCAAAACATTTTATTATTTTATTTTACTGAACGACTTATCATTTAACAATCTTTATTTTAAAATTGACAGTTCAGCATATTTAGTGGAAAATGGGTTTAATAGAGCTATAAAATTTTTAACATGAATGGGTCAAGTCTCCATTCTTCGTTAACGCTTAAATGATGGAAACGTAAATGTAAAATCTATTTCATTTGTCCAAAAAATGGAATATGAACCCATTCTATATGAAAATCGAACTTTTCTGAAAAAAAAATTCGCTTCAACAAACCCGTCCATTTAAATCACACTGAAAGACCTCAACAGTGCATATACTTCGTAGCGTAGTGGTTAAAGCGGTTGGTCTAGGACCAAACCTGCGCTATGGACAGAGTTCGAATCATACATGAAGCTTTTTCTTTTTTTTCAACTGTCTTAACAACATGAGTAAAAATAAATAATTTATAAATTATTAAAACAATGAAATATAGAATTTGATATGTAAAAGATGATATAAACCATAAAATTTTGAAAAAATACTACTTTTTGAATTGAAAATTTCTTTTTTCAGAGCGGGGGATTACCCTCGCCTTGTACGCCTCCATTCTTACTTAAAATTCAATAATTACAATTTAACGACTAAGTTTATGAAAGCCTCAACTTATATGTTATTCATGATCATGTCCTAGTCTAAGACCATGCATGTAAGACTTTGAAAATAAGCCAGACAAATATAAGTTCAATCCTTGTCTATTAAATTGTAAATGTAAATTTCAAATGTTATATGGCCAGAGTAATTTTGTAGACAAAAAGATGAAAAATGTAATAGGTCCTCAAAAAATCTTCTGACATTTCAAGAAATAAATGAACTGTACTTTTCTCTTTTGTAATTTTCTGGAATTTTTAGTCCATGCTATAAGTCATGGTAAGAGAGTACTATACTTGTTTTAGTAGACTGACCTCTGTCCAGTGAAGCCTTGTTGAGGACCAGAGCATCCTCAATGTCATATCCACTGAAGCTCATCACCGCCACTGTGGCATTTTGTCCCGCCGGTAACTTGTCAAAGTGGATCAGCTCTATAGTCTACACAGAAAACAATCATTACAATTATAAATTAATATGCTTATTAAAGAACATTTATTGTTATTACTGAAGTATTTAGAATTTGAAAGATTATTTTTCCAGCATGATATTTATGGACATTGTACAAATTTCATATTGCCAAAATATTTTGGTCTACT